CAAATGAATAAACAAACAAACCTGCTCTTCAAAACTCATCTACAGATGATGTCCTGCTGCTCTACAGCGTTGTAAACAAAAAGAATTAGTTCTATATATTCTGCATGTAAGGCATTTTAGATACCAAAATATAAAATCATAATTAGAGTTAAACAGTATCTACTGTAAGCTAAACACTTGAGAACACAAGTTCAAAGCTAGACATTTAGAAAAAAAGAACATATGGCAATGTCCTCTATCAAGCCACAACATTCTGCCAAAGCATGGGATAAGGCTCTGCTTAGAAATATGAAAGCATTGCGCAGACTTGGGCTTGGTTCACATGGTTTTTTCTTTGGGAGAGCCTGGACCAGGCTGTGATTTACAGTCATCACAACTTACTCTTGGCTGATAATGTGCTGCCACCACCACAGATACATCTAATTGAAAACCCAGTTTGTGAGAATACAACCCACGTTAAGTGCCTACCGCAGTGGGAGGTATGGATTTATGGTGTGTTATTACCTCTTTATTTCACACAGAAATGACACAAATTGAATCCTAAAATCACAGTACATGAATTTGGTTTCCTTGGGTCATATTAGTTGCCATATAGTCACAAGATGAGTTACAACCACATTTTATGTTGGTACAGTATGCCACAATACTGACAAAAATTCGACTGTATCTTCAAAGATAAGTAAAATGGCAGATAGACTTTGGTAAGCACTCAAAGTTAGTGAAATATGATCTGTTGATGTGGTAAATTACGTGCAGCTTTGTAATTACACGGGACATAGGCAAAATGTACTACGAATTCCCATTTTATCAAGAATCCAAATAATCTTACAGGTGAAATAACTGAATTGTTGGGAGTCACATTCAACCCTTACCTTTTATGAAAGTTAAAGAGAGTTCAACTAAAGTAAACAGACATGTTTAAGGAAGTCACTGAAAAGAGCAACTTGCAACAACTGCAGCATGTCCATTATATCTCACATCCTCTATATGCCCAGTGTTATATAATCAATGACGTTTACAATGGCCATGAGCCATTACAGAGATTTGAACTAACTTCTGAATCAACAAAGATTATATTTTGCCCAATTTAGTGTGAAAGGTGATTATCCTTTATTGCATTTGGGTTAAACCTCACATACAGAATGGCTA